AAATAAAAATGGCTTTTACACCAGGTTCGTTGTCGTCTTTCTTAAATTTGAATATTTTATAGTTTACTAATTTGGTACAAACATATTTTAAGCATACACACGTGGTTGGCAATACTTCCTAAGCTCAAGTTAATTATCATATTAACTAATTTTTTTTAAAAGACAAATTATTAATAAGTTAAATCTTATTAATATTGTTAAGATATTATTTTTCTGCATAAAAATTTTATATACTCATCAAGTATTATAAAAAGAATATAAAAATTAAATAACGAAAAAAATGCATATGATGCATAAACCTTAAATTACAGTAAATTCCGAAAGGAAGTTATGTTCAAATAAAAGCCTAAAAACTTTTTTTGAATAATTAAATGGAAATCATGGGATTTCCTTATCCTTAATATAGGCATATTGTCGAACGTTTTCTATTTTCTTTCAATTTTTGATTCTTAACTTTAACACCAGTTTAAACATGTTTCTTACAATGACGGATATTAAGTGTTAGAAAAATCTAAATAAATACAATAAACAACTTATGAACTAAATAAAACAGAATTTCTATGCGTATCACAGCGGAATAATTTTTATTTTTATTTGACCTAACAGTACAGATTTTTCTACTTAATATTTAACATAGTTTTTAATTAACTTTTAATATACCTTTTCATTAAGCTAAGATTCCTTATAATCTTTGTTCATGTCTAATACGGAATAGATACGGAATAATACGGAATAATTTCAGTTTGCCGGAAGCAAGGAAACTCAATTAGTTTTTTTTATTTCATTTTATTTTAATTTATTTTACTTTTAGGCGTTAAAAATACATAAATGAAATAAATTTCATGTTGTAAAGGTCTACCTTTTTGACAGCTTTTTGCTTGCGACTTTATTAATCAAAAAAATATCAAAAACTCATCGGAAACTTTTAAAGTAAAATTATTAAATTTCAATAAAATTTTTATATGTACTCACACAGCTTTCTTAATCCACTTAAACATGTCTGATTTCTCTCAAATTAAGGACTTATATTCTTTTCAATATGAAAATCTTTTGAGATTATTCAAATTTTCAATGTCAAAGAAATTTATCGAACACAGAGTTTAGGTGTTTATTGCTTCTTTAACATGACGTCATTATACAGAAATTAGCAACAACCTGCTAAAAAATACTGATGTCTACCCGTTAAAAAATATTCAATTATAATTTCGCTCATTATTTTAATAACTATAGGGGGCGTTGTTGTATGAGATGAATACCTGTGATTTCTATATGAACAGTCATTCCGTAACTCTGGAACGTCTAATATAGCATTTAACATTGTAGCGTTTCTTCTTTATTGTGGCTTATTAAATTAGAAAAAAGAAAAATGTTTGATACTCTTTCTTATGCAAAACGAAAACAAAATGGTATCTCTTTTTTTAGAGAAGGAACATCAAATACACATTATATAAAATTATTTGTAAATGAACAGAAAAAAATATGTATTTTCTTATTAGAGTTAAAACCTAATGCCTGAGAAATAGTTTTACTAAATTTAATGCAATAACATGAAAGGCCCACTTAAACTTTACATTCCGTTGTTTTAAGAATCATATTACTTCAAACATTAAAGTAAGCAAAAAGTATAGATAAGCCTCATAATTTTATATAATTTAATTTTGCAAAAAAAGTTTTTTGACAACAATTTTTATTAAAACATTTTAAGTTTCAATAAAATCATTATTTAGAAACTAAACGTAAAATAAAGGATGGCTACGAAACAGAAAAATAAAACAGTTCTAAAAATTCCTCACATTATAATAAAATACTTTCATGTTTTTTTGCTTTTTTTTAATTCGTAATAGGACGTAGAAAACCATTCTATATAAAATTATCATGAAATATGAAGAAAAAAATTATTTACAAGCAAAGTTTTTATTTTATAAAATATAACACTTACCTGCTTTAAAAATCCAAAAATGATATGTTCTTCATTTGAAAACTTTATTCACAAATAATATATACACAGATTTTCCCTTCATTACTTTAAGATGGCATACCACACACAAAAATTTTATAATTGCAAGATCTCGATATGAATTTCAATATGTAACTTAAAATATGTAACTGATTTGCCAAAAACAGAACAAGATGCAATTTTATTTTTTCAGGAGCGAAATATTTTACCAAAAAAACGAAAATGTACCAATTTCCAACACATGGAACTTTATCTTGTTAAGCGTACGTTTTGGAAATGCTATTTTATTTGCAATCTTATTTACTAGAGTTCATATGGCGAGAGCATCAGGTAAAATAAATTAAACATTGTTTTGAATCTATGTTAAACTATATATCGGCCCATTTTCCACCGAAATCTGATTGACTACTTTGATTTTAAATAAGTGTTTTGAATTGTAAAAGTGTTTTGATTTTAAATAAAGTGTTTTATTTTATAATTTGCAGCAAAAATTTTAGATGTGGATTAGCGGCACTTAAAAACCGCGAAATCTGTAGCTCGGGTGGCGTTAAAACGTAAGTACCGAATTGTTATTCCATACTTTTCTGAATCATAATACTTCAAGCATTAGAATATGCAAGAAGTATGTATAAACACATAATGTTATACCATTTAACTTTTCTAAAGAAGTATTTTGACAACAATTTTTATCTAAAAATCATAAACTAAAAAGCGTAAAACAAACAATTCTTAGGGGAAAAAAACGATTTTAAAAATTCCTCATATTGAAATAAAAAAAACTGCCCCAATGCTCATTTTTTTTATTCTCATAGTTCTTAATCAGACGTAAAGCACCATTCTGTAGAGAACTATCATCAAATAAGAAAAAAAATATTTACAAGCAAATTTTTTATTATTAAAATCATAACACTCACTTTCTTTATAAATCCGGAGAATTCCAAATGAAATGTTCTTCGTTTGAAAATTTGATTTTAAAATAATACATACATAGATCATCCCCTCATTACTTTTCGAAAACATACCACAGAGCAAAATTTTATAATTGTAAGATCTCGATATGATTTTCAAGATGTAACTTGAAAACAGAATACCTGAACTCTAGTTGAAATTATTCTTTCGAAACTAAAGAATACTTACCAAGAAAACGATAAAAATTTATTAATAATCAGCACAAATGACACTATTTCAAGTAATTTGGATGGTTTTTTATTGTTGTTTTCCGAATTATATAAATACAGAAATATATACTATTCTATAATGAAGAAGAATATTCTATAACTATTGCAGTTCTGAATTCACATTTGTTCATTGGAATGAAGAAGCAACGTTGACTTCACTTTGATTTGTAATGAATTGCAAGTTACGAGGGTTGCTATTTATATTTCTGGCCTAATAATGAAAAAACAAATATGTAGGATCTAAATTGGTTTTATTGTTTTTCAAAATATTCTCCATGATGATCAATACACTTTTGCATGCGTTTGAAACAATTTTCAAAGCACTTTTTCCAGTCCGATTGAGGTAACATTGAGGTAACAAAATATATATGGCAGTACTTTTACTTTCGTTACTTGTACCGCCGGTACAAGTAAAAAGTACGTACTTTTACTTGTACTTCGCTACTTTTTAAATTTAGTACTTTTACTTGTACTTTCGTTACTTTTTTAGGGAAAAAGTACAAGTATTTGTAACGGAAATGTCGAATGAAATCGTTACTTTTTTCTAAAA